TGAACATATCTTCGGACAATTTTGTAGGTGTTTTAATAAAATTGATTCCTGTGAGTAGAATTTCTGATTTGAATCCCATAGACATTTTCTACCTTATTAAAGTTTACCAAATTGCCCTCCAAATAAGTTGTGCCAATTTACAATTATTTCAACAATATATGGCAATGCTTGGTGTCCCCAACTTTGGCTACACTAGGTATTAATCAATCTTTTTTAATGTGCTGATCTGACAAGTGAAAGTAAATGCCATTGTTAACTGAATTTACATTTGTTTGCTTATTGAGATGGAGCATCTTTTTACACGTGGCCAAAAGCCATGTGCAGTTCCTCCCCTGTGAACTACCTGTCTGTGTGTCTTACTCATTTTTTCCTAAGATCAACCAATTTCTCTCTTTTTTTTAATTTGTAAAAAGTCTATGAGTACTATAGAAATTAACTATCTGGCTATCATATATATTATGAAATATGGCATTATTTATGGCTTTGAGTTTTGTCTGGGGTAATGTTGGTGAGTGTATGTATTTCTTTTTTATAAATTAGAAGTTTTTATTTTTTTAATTACCATGCTTAACTGTCTTTTCCTATGTTAATTTTTTATTTTATGTCGTCCCAAGAAAGGGATTCCCTTCCGCAACATTATAAACATACTCAGTTATGTTTCCTTCTCATATTTTTATTTTTATTTTACTACATTTAAGTCTTTTATCCACCTAAACTGCAGTGTAAGCAATAAGAAAGGGATCCAGCTTTACATTTTTCTGAATGACTAGTCATTTCTGCCCATGCTATTTATTTAATAACCTGGTCTTTTCCCACTAATTTGAAATGTAACTTTATTAAGTACTAAGGAATAGAAAGCTAATAGATAGGTAGATAGATAGGTAGATGATAGATAGAAGATAGATAGATAGTTTTCCACATACATATTCTCCTAATTTCTAAAGATTCATACTATGTTTTGATATCTGGTAAAAGTACTCTAACCTCTCATCCCACTTAACTTTAATAAAATTTTTTTCATTGGACATTAAAGATGTTTCCCTGTGTTACTTTTTTCAACTGATTTTTGAAATAATTTTTATCATATTTAAAAATAAAACAACCAGTTAGGATTATATTTTAAACTATCCCTTTTCCAGGAGTGCCTGGGTGGCTCAGTCTGGTAAGCATCTAACTTCGACTCAGGTCATGATCCTCGAGTCCTCGGATCAGGCCCAACATCGAGCTCCCTGCTCAACAGGGAGTCTGCTTCTCCTTCTCCCTTTCTCTCTGCTCCTCGCCCACTTGTGCTCTCTCTCTCTCTTCCGCTCTCTCTCTCACTCTTTCTCTCTCATTCTCTCTCAAATAAATAAATAATAAAAATAAATAAATAAATAATAAATAAATAAACTATCCCTTTTCCCAATCCCTGCTGCATCCTGGATATATAGAATCCTAATTCTTTCCCCTGCTTATAATCACTCCTAGACTTTCCAGTTCTCAGCTGCCAAAGTGAGTTTTCTAGTGCCCCAATTTACTCATTTCTATTTGCTGCTGAATATCTACCAGTGACTTTCTATTCATTTTATGATACAATCCAAAAATTTCAATGTGACATACAGGATCTCTGTCTACTCCTTTATACTGACTTTGTATCATTTCTTATCTCTCTCAACACCCTCCCTCCAGTCATTATAAAACTGGGTTCACATTCACTCTTTCTTGCTCAGACATCATCTCCCATAGGACACTTCCTTTAAATCTCTGCTCCGTTCTACGTGAGGTGCCCTTCCTTCATCAGAACTCCCATTACTAGACTATCATGATAGACGAGACTATATTAAAATTGCTTGTCCATTTGAATCTCTTTTCTACTAAACAAGAAGCTCCTTCAGGATGCTATCTTTTCTTTATTCCCAGAACTCTCCATAGTATCTGTTACATAACAGACCTTTAATTCATGTTGCTAAACGAATAAATCTAAAGTCATACAAGCTTGGGTTAATTTTATACCAATCAGCTGGCCAAATAGATTGCACTGTCTTAACTGGGTGTGGGTAGTTTTTCTAGGAAGTGATCCCAGGAAGCACTACAGGCCTGGATAAAGTAAGACAGAGAGAAAGGGGAAATGCCAATAAAGGGGTGTGTTGATAAACTAGGGTCAACAGGGCCATAATCCAGCTTGGGACCTTTTGAGAAACTACAAGTCATTTTAGAACTCTCCTTCAGGAGAATGGAAAATCTAGAGCATTTATCCACTGACTTCAGTCCAAGAGTGGTCCCCAGAGGTTTTAACTTACGCCACACTTCCAGGTTGCACCAAGGGCGAGCGCATGGTACCAAAGACCCAGGGTATAGAACCCAAGAGACACAGGCACTCTAGTGGGAATCAGTCAGCATCCAGTGAACTCAGAAGAAGGCCAAGGGGATGGGGTGGGCATCGATGGCATCTGCTACAGTAGCTGATGCTATAACCTCTGCCCCACCTCCAAACTGAACGTGTATCAACTAATATCAGACATGAACTGTTTGAAGATTCTTGATGCACAGTAAGGATGATTTCTATTTCCTTCAAAATGCTCAAGGCTCGTAGACACAAATGCTATTTGATTCAGTCTCATGGTGGACCAAAAAACCCTCCAAAGGGAAGCTGCATGTTATTATTCATTACCAAAGGGAAGCTGCATTATTATTCATTACCAAATCACTTTCTCATTGTAGGACATACATTTGCCCAGGCCTGTGAGACAATAAAACTTTTTATTATGATTATGTCTGTTTCAACATCCTTTCCCTGTACAGCTTCATAGAATTGGCTTCAACATGTCAGTAAGTAGCCATGGATATCCATTACGATGCTCAACATATTTTGGTTCACTTTTATAGTATTATCAGTGATTTGAGGTCACTTTTGGACTTCATTGCTTTTTTAAAAGAGAATGAGTAGTAAACTTCACTTTATTCAGCGACTGCTGCATGCAGAACTCCCTATTAACCTCAGTGGTTGTATGTGGGATAAGTGTTATGCAATCTAATAAAACTTACTGCTTACTGCATAGAGTACAGAAATGCTTGTATTTGGGGCGCCTGGGTGGCCAGTCATTAAGCATCTGCCTTCGGCTCAGGTCATGATCCCAGGGTCCTGGGATCGAGGCCCGCATCGGGCTCCCTGTTCCGCGGGAAGCCTGCTTCTCCCTCTCCCACTCCCTCTGCTCGTGTTCCCTCTCTCGCTGTGTCTCTCTCTGTCAAATAAATAAATAAAATCTTTAAAAAAAAAGAAATGCTTATATTTTACAAAAATTGGCTATATACCTGTTCGATGGATGCAGTTAATCTGAATTAAAAAATTTGAAATAAATGAGTTTTGATAGAAATATTGAAAGATATAACTAAACATGGACTGGTGTTCAAAGATGACATTCAAGTATTTTAAAAATACAGTGTTCATGGATTGGTAGGGAACCCTCCAAAAATACTAAGTCAGAAGTGTGCAGATGTAAATCAGTCTGTGGAGCAAGCTGAGAACGCCATCCTTCCCTCTTGGCCCCCGTGTCCTCTGCCTAGAATATTTTTGATCCCTTCTTTAATAACTCCTGCTTGCCTTTTAGATTAGCTCAAGTCTCATCTCCTATATTAGTTTCCTATGACTCCTTGACAATTTACCACAAACTTCTTGAATTAAAATAGCAGTTTATTATCTTATGGTTTTGGAGGTCAAAGTCAAACATGGGTTTCACTGAGCCAAAATCAAGGTGTCAGCAGGGCTGCATTCTTTCCAGAGGGTCTAGCAAAGATCCCATTTTCTAGCCTTTTCCAGCTTCTAGAAGCTATATATAGATATATATAGAGATATCTATCTATATAGATATAGATAGATATCTCCTTGGTCAGGGCCCCCCCTTAGTTTCCTCCTGTGTAAAGGAGAAGTGTATTCTCAGGTGGGTAAGAGAACAAACGAGAGGGCAAGATTCCTCATCCCAAACCTCTTGCTCTAACCTACTCCTGAGAAGCAGCACCGACTTCTCAGTTTCCTTACCGATAACATGGAAATAATCACAGCATTTAGCACACTCGCTTCTCATGAGTATTCATGAACAGACAAATGAAAATTCACTGACAGTGATTGGCACATACTATTCACTCCAAACTGTTAGTTGTTACTATTTCCCCCTGGTGAGATTATTGTGAGGATTTAGGAAACAGTTGATAAAGCCTCAGCACAATGCCTGGCACACAGCCAGTTCTCAGCACATTCTATCCTTTGATTTATCACCATCGTCTGTATTAAATACAACAGGTTAAAGATGTCAAATTCAGTGAAGAAAATGCGTTTCAAAGGTAGGAGTTTGGTGACATGCATTCAACTCTGTGCTAACAATCTGCCTTATTTCAGGCTCTGTTATTAATAGCCTCAGGACCATCACAGGGTTAGAAGATACGAAAGGTCAATAAAGTTGTGATGGGTGGATTCCATCAGTTCCCATGATGAAATAACAGTAGTAATAACTATAGGCTTTAAAATATTACAAAACATTTCCAAATATATTATCTCATAGGGCCTTGATGTGACTTCATGTGATTCCCAGGCAATATCTAGCAGTCCAATGGCTATTTGATTATTTAGGCTTCCCAGGTTATTACCATCCTTGTCACATAATAGCCTTTACGTCCTTTGTATTATAGAATATTCAGATGTTACCCATTGTTTCCAAGGCAAATGGAGCCATTCCACTCAAATGTTTACAGTAAATAGAACAGAAACTTGTGGAATCATCTTCCTCTCTCATAAATGAAGCAACAGCAAAGTGGTACAGCGTCTCAGCTGTTCCAAGTTCCTCAAATAAGTTTTACTTTTGCAAAACGAACCCTCTAACTTCCTATATGCTGTGAGCTGCGTTATGAGCAACATGACAGCCGGCAGCCACGTTTGTTGTAATTTTTTAAATATGTGGAAAAAAAGCAAGATATCGACCATGTATTACCTTAACCAAGATGCCAAATTATCTAACTTGTTTCTCCAGGCAAGCAGTCCAACAACAGGGACAGCTCCCAGGAGCCAGTCAAGATTGTCTGTCTGTCCATCTACTCAGGACATCTGCAGGTAAGTGCTCAGCAAATGATCCTATTTAATCTTGTTTAGACCAATGTTTTGTAGTCTTCTTTTATATTCTGAGACTGTGTGGCTCTTGCCTCTGCCTTACATTGTCCATGGACAATTTATACTGGCTTAATTTTTCCCCCTTTAGTGCTTTCTCTTCATTTGATCTTTATTTACCAACTTCTGGTCCATGCTATCATTTTCATCATTCTCTCTCTCTGTTTTCCTGTGGCTCTCCTCTCCATTCCCATCTCCCATCCTTTGCCTGCTGCTTTGTCTAGATCTGCCATCTTGCATGACATGTCAGAAGATGCATTTGAGCAATGCACCCCTGTCATGGTGCTGAGCCCTGCTAGGGAAGAGTCTGGTAAGAAATCAGTAAAACAGAGGCCTAGGAGGAGGAGGAGGGCCTCTGAGAGATATGAGCCTGCAGAAGAACAAATAAAAGGGAGAAGAAATGATTTTCACCTCCAAATCACAAGCCCCAGATGGAGCGATCTTTATGCAGACTCTTCAGATTCATCTTCCACAGATGAGACTCACTGGATTCAGGCAAAGAGAAGAGCCCAAGTTAAATTCCGACTGTCACGAAGAAGAAGGAGAAATGGCAATAAGCCATGCAGAAATGTGGATGGGCCTTCTGCTCCTCATGGAATGGATCTGGTAGATGTGGAATCCAAAGGGAAAAAGCAACAAGAGCTGACTGAATGTGCAAGTTGCTCTTTAAATCTCTGCAGAGGAAAGGGCACAAGGTGCCAAGAATGCAGTCTTTCCCTGCCACAAGGATCCTTTGAGATTAAGAGATCCTCAAGGGAGCACGAGGAGAGCAAAGGCAGGCACCACCACAGGGATCTGCAGCTCTTGCATCGTCTTGGGCAATATGAAACCGTCCAGAAAAGACTTTCAGAAGCCGATTGCAGCACTGATATATTGGCAGTAGCCGAAGGTGGCAAGTATGTGGACGCTGCCACGTTCCAGGTGAATAACTCTGTGCAGAAGCCTCCTGCCACCTACCATGACGGGTCTGATAATTTAAAAATATGCAGGTCAGTCACTGTAGAGAAAGACTTGATGCCATCCACATGCATTTCTTCCCGCTGTGAGTTAGGCGTGTGTTCGACCTCTCCCCTCAAAACATAACATGTATTCATACTGTTATTTGTCTGATTGTATATAAGGTGATAAAACAAGAAAAGGCAGCTGTGGGAATGGGAAGAAATAATAGGGAAGCATCCATGGGTTTGAAAGCTGTTCCAGAATAGAATTAGATGTCCCCTTTACTCTTCCCTCAATTGGATAGTGAGTTATCCTGGTAAATGTACTGACAAGCCAGTTGGGTCTGGTACCCATTCAAGTTAAGACAAGACCAGTGGAGGAAAGATGAGTGAGAGTGTATGAAACCCTAGATCCTTTAATGCAAATTCGGTGAACTGTTAGCATCCTGACAGAAAGATATTCAAGGCTTGGGTTTTTTTAAGGTCAGATTTTTTTTTTTTAATCAGAAAAATCTCTGCAGTTGGTGCTAATTTGTTCTCCAGTTGTCTGACTCAGCAGGGTATTTCAAGACTGAAAGGCCACAGAAACAGGTCATGGACATATCAGTGGGATTGCTGGAGCCTTCAGGGAAAGAGAACACATCAACTTTAGTGATAATCATGTACTGAAAGGTTTCAACATGTAGATATTTCATAGCTATGAGACCTTTCTTGCCATTTTTTCCCAACCGTATACATTTTCAAAATAACTTAAAGTGAATAAGAATTATAGGAATATCCATGCTAGTATGCACAAGTCAGATCATTTTAAACAAAACAGATAGTTTTATGTGTTCATGTTATCCCCTAGTCATTTAAGTTGGTTAAGTTTTGTTGTTTTGTTGCATAATGCTTGGTTGTTTGGGCTTGTTTTATGAAAGTTAAAGTTACTTTATAAAACATGTATGTGTGCCTCCTGCCAATGACGTGACCCCGAGAATGTTGCCAGTATCCATTCAAGACAGGACAAGGAGATTTGAGGCCTGGATGTAAATAATAATAGTTTATTTCTCAGAATGTTTTATAAGATTTTCATAAAATGCTCATTGATTTATTCATTCAAGCACCTGTTATGCATCAATTCTCGGCACTGGAAATGTTACAGTGCCTGAGATTTATATAGTCTCTGACATCTTAGAGCTTACTGTCTAAGGGGGAATGGAGAAACAAAAGAAACTATTTCACAGTTGATGTACAATTACAATTGTGATAAGGACTATGAAAGTCCACAACAAGGAAGCTTCACCTACTCAGAGAGATCAGAGAACTCTCTTAAAAGAGTCAGCCAAGCTGACTGAGGCTCGAGAATGACAGGCATTGATCAAGGAAAGAAACGGGGAGGACCATTCAGGCAGAAAGGGCCACTACACCAAGCCAGGAGGAGGGAAGGAGTTTGGCAATCCAGGGGACTGAAAGTGGGCTGCTGTGGCCAGGGTGTGATGAATGTGGGGAGCGGGTAGTAGAGATGGTGGGGAGAGGTGGAGAGAGCCAGGTACAACATGCTCAGACATCTCAAAGAAGTGACACCATTTGAATTATATATTAATGTAAGTTTCTTGTAATCTTTGGAATATGATTTAAGTGTGACTTTGCTAAAATGTTGGGGTATGGGATAAAACACTATTTCCAGTCTCAACCAAGAACTCCCCACTTACAGCCACCTGTTGTCATTCCCCGAATCTACTTCCAACATAATTTAATGAAAGAAGCTAGTTGTGGGCTTAATAGTAATTGGAGAAAAAAAGTAATGCTTGCAATTAAAGTCATAGTGGCTGATTCTCCTAACTTAAAAGCACTGCTCTGGAAGAACATTTTCAAAGACAGGATATTTAACTTAGACTTCTATTAATGAAAGTGAGATCGATGGACCTATTCTTATTATTTCTTGCTGTGGGTTGTCATCAAAATACACCCACTAAGCAAATACAGGGACTGTGTATTATACTGGACGCTGAGGGCAAAAAGCAACAAAAGACTTGATTCTTCCTGTTAAGTAGCCTGTTATCTAGTGGGAGAAATTGAACACACATCCGAAAAGATACAAATTCAAGATAGTACAGGGTGAATTAAAACAAAACAAAAGGAATACTGCAGAAATTTGAAGACAGAAAAACTTCTGAGAGCTGGAACAATCTGGAAACCCCATTAAGAGGTAGGATTGGGACCAAGAAAAGTAGAATTAAATTGTCAGAGATGCATGCTGGGCATTCCAGGCACCCAGGGCAGGGGAAACACCATTAGCCCAGACAGAGATGAGGGAATGACACTCTGCACTGAAGAATTTTGTGTGAACTTCTATTACTGGGTTGGAAAGTTTACATAGATAACAACTAAAAAAAAAAAATTTTTTTTTTTAAAGACTTTGTAGAGAAAACATGCATATCTTTCCAAAGAAGGTATGAGTTCTCTACATCTTTGTTTTCAAACTGGCTCAATGAGCCTTTGGGTACCAAAGAGGCTGCCTCAGAAGCTGAGAACAGATCAGGGGGATCGTGCTCCCCTTAGCCCATCTTCAGTCACAGAAGTTGCATGTTTATCTCTTGTATATAATGGGGTTCGACATTATCCCTTTAGGAAAAAAAGATTTTGCTGCAAAAAATAATACAGAGCATCCTTTGCTCAATAAAATAGGCCTGATGGAGAATAACATATACATTCACCACGTCCCCGGGGGTGTATTGGGAAAGGAACCTAGATTTAGGAGCACAAGTTGCAGTAAGTTAGAATGTATCCTGCTTTGAGGTAAGTAGGATTAGGAAGATAAAGGGTAATGAAAGGGAGGAACACATGGTATGCGGTCATTCCATCCAGTGATTGGAAACAATCCTGGTGCTTGGAATTGGTGAGAGCGTAAGACAAAGGAGTCAGGGGTGACTCCACACCTTGGAACTTGGGAGACAGGAAATGCTGCTCTTACTGACAAAGGCAGAAGAGGTCAGAGGGAGGCGGATTGGGAAATACGTGATGAGCTCCATCGTAGGCAGGCTCTTTGTGGTTGCAGTGATATTGCAGGGTCAGCTGTCCAGCACACAATCTGAGACATGTCCCTGAGGGGCACGAGAGCAGTCACAGCTGGTTCTGTAGAATTGTTCAAGCATTAGTGAACTGTACACAGATCGCCACGAAACAATTGCATATTTGCAATTGTTATTAACATGACATATTAGCACGGGGCAATGGCACAAAGACACTAATAATGAAAATCTTCTCAAGGCCAGGGAGGACATATAAATTTGGGTGTCATTCTCAGGCAGGTAACTGTGATGACTGGGAAGTGAATGAAATCTCTGAATGAAATCGTATGCAGGAAAAAGGCCTCCAGGTGGGGGCCTCCAGGTGGACACAGCCTGAGCACCAGGGTCCCCTGTGCAAGGGAGAGAGGCAGCAATTGCCTATGAACTTGCACTCCCGCTGCTTCAGACATGCATGGGCAGAACCAGCCTCGGTCATAACCACAAAGCAGAAAAAGCTCCTAAGCCCTTCCTCCTTTTCTGTTCCTGGCATTGGGCCCCTGCCTAGGCACCCTACACTCTTTCCCACTCTCCTCAAAGCCTTATTCAGAGAAAGTTTCTCTACTAGCCAATTACAGCTTACAGGGAATTTAAGTCATCATGCTGTTACACCCATAGCTGTGTAGTGGGAAAGGCTTTGTCTTTTTTTTTTTTTTTTTAAGATTTTATTCATTTATTTGACAGAGAGAGACATAGCAGGAGAGGGAACACAAGCAGGGGGAGTGGGGGAGGGAGAAGCAGGCTTTCCGCTGAGCAGGGAGCCCGATGTGGGACTCGATCCCAGGACGCTGGGATCATGACCTGAGCCGAAGGCAGACGCTTAAGGACTGAGCCACTCAGGCGCCCTGACTTTGCCTTTTTCATAGGAAAAAAGTATTTAAAATATGGATTATATCGTATTAGCCCACGCTCGAGGCTTTTCAATGGCCTCTTCGTTGCCCTTGGTGGCAAGTTCAAA